CTTCATACTCACCGCTGTGGAAACCTGTGTTACAAAGAAACAAGAGGGTCGACACTTAATATTTCGGCTAAGGAGTTAGCCGAGGGTTGAGTACCATACTGCAAAACAAGCACTGAATCAGAGGATAACAATTGACGGGGTCCCCTGCTACAACTCTTACTGCTATTTAATAAACCAATGAAGGGTTAAGTATATGAAGTAGTGTCTTTGTAGTGAAAATATGTAGGTAATGTCTCGAGACCAATTACAGGACTCTCCCATGTAGTAATGCACAGATCTTTTAATGCATTTTCACTCTAGGTCTTTTTATTTGTATAATCTGTCTGAACATGTTATTGCTGTTCGTGTTGAAAATGAGATCTGCGCAGATGTGGAGATGGCGGTGGCAGAGGAGGTTGTAGAAGAAAGTGGTGTGGAGGCTGATGATGATTGGGAGCCATTTGACCCCTACCTGTTCATCAAGGATCTGCCCCCACTAACGTTGGAGATGAGGGCCAGATGTCCTGCTCTTCCTCTAAAAACCAGGAGCAGCCCAGAATTTTCCCTGGTTCTGGATTTGGTGAGTGACATTGAGACACTGTCTATGTGGTCTGTGCTGTATGTTCTATCATATTTACTGAAATCCAATTAAAAACCCTAAAAGCTTATAAAGGATACTGTGTAAAAAGAATAAATCATTTGCCTAAAAATTGTTGTATTTTAATTTTAGTGGGTAAGTATCTTGCAAAGTGACTCTGAAAACTGAAACAAAGTTTGGAAGATAATACCAATAAGTTTGGAAACATATGAATATCTCAGCAATATTCGTGTGGTTACCAAAATTTAACCTTTAACATTTGTGAGAAGGTGCAAAGAAGGCTGTGCTTAATTACATTTACTTCATCAAAATCTGAATATCCTGGTCTTTTTATTTCAAGGCAAATGGTTACACAATTAAAATGCTTTGCAGTAATGGATACCAATGGTAAAATTGTGTGTTGTGTTACTGATGAATTTCTGTATGTAACAAAATAAGCTTAAAAATATGTTTGTGTTTTTGTGTAAAGTTGTCTTTAAAATTGTCTGCTGTAAATGAAAGTTTAAAGGTCTCAACAATTTTTCATAAATTCCCTGGTATTAAATTTCATCAAAATCAGTTTTTCCCCAGGTTTTCAACTAGCATTATTTGGTACTTGTGGGTTATCGGGACACATCGCTTTAAAAATAGGTTAGGTTAGGTTAATGTGTCTGGATAAATGACATATACTTGAAAGTTATTATATTTTATTTCAATAAATGACAAATTATTATATTTTATTTGGATATGCATGAGATGTTAATATCACTGAAATATAGTTTCATAATGTGATTATTCGCACAGTACCTCTCTTTCGCTAGTATTCCTTCATCCTGCAGAAAAGAGACAGAATCTTCCTCACTGTTTGGTAAATCTCAAATTTTTAACATGGTACCGAACAGCAATAAATAACTGAACGAACTAACAGATAACATCCTGCGCCGTAGCCGTGCGGTCTGAGGCATCATGCTTCGGACCGGTGATATGGAATGCGTGCTGGTTCGAGTCTCAGGCGAGAAGAAATTTTCTCATGAGCTTTCGACCAGTGTATGGGATCAGTGCCAACCCAGTTTCATGAGGAAATTGGGGAGCTACAATGGGTAGCGTAATCCGGTCAGGAAAACTAGCAATGGCTGGGGGTTCGTCGTGCTGACAACACGTCATCCTATATCTGGTTGGATGATCGTTCACCTCTGCTTAGGCGTGTGAATGTGAGGCCAGCAGTCAAGCTAGTCGGCTTTGGCTCTCTGGAGCTGTTACGCCACGGATTTAATTTAATTTTTAACCAACAGATAACAACAACCGAGTATATGGGTATACTGATACGCATGCACAGTTTTCCGTCAAATCCAAGTCCAGATATTCGACTCTCCCGTTTTGTGTCCGATAACAAACAAGTACCCATTATTCTTAGTGTTTGACAATTTGCAGTAGGAAAACAAACATTAACAATACTGGGTATGCCACGGTGGAAGTCTTCAGTCTTAAATTTTAATTTAACATGCCTTTTCCCCATCATCCTAAAACCATGTTGATTTATTTAATTATGTCATACCTGTAATAACATATTTAGCTTTTAATTCTTCTTGTATAAACATGTAACGCCTGTTCATTTTAAAACAGATTGATACTGTCTGTCACATACTTCAAGCTGTGCCCATACATGAGAGGAAATTACATATCCCACTTTGTGAAAAATCTGTATATTTTTTTGCTCTGCAGGATGAGACACTTGTTCACTGTAGCCTTCAGGAATTGAAAGATGCGTCTTTCAGCTTCCCAGTCCTGTTCCAAGACTGCAGCTACACTGTCTTTGTGAGAACTCGGCCATATTTTCGTGAGTTCCTGGAGAGGGTGTCTTGCATGTTTGAGGTGATTCTGTTCACTGCATCTAAACGAGTGTACGCAGATAAGCTCCTGAACTTGCTGGACCCCACTAGAAGATGGATAAAGTGAGTTCCCATTCTTTTGATATACATCACATGCCAGGTCTGTAATGATATTGTACATAGGTATAAACATGTCTTGATTTAGTGAGCATAAAAAAAGATTAAAAATAAATAGTAAATTGGGGTGAATGCCCCAGGCTCCACAGTTTGGTATTATGTTATTTGTTTAGTTTTGTGATTACTAAATTTCATTTTGTTGAGCAGTGTGTTCATTATTTAGTAGGACTGATGTTAGCAGTAGTTACACTAAAACATGTGGCCAAGACCCCTAATTGTTTTAGTAATATAGAGGAATGTGTGACAATGGACAAATATTAATTATTCTACATATGTCACCTGGTTTTGGGGAGGGGGAATTTGCTTGTCATTTCTCCAAAATAATTGCAGTGCTAATGAATTAACATAAGATCAGTATTTATTTAAGTTATTCCCAAATAGAAGTTTATGATGAACAAAACTAATGCACAAAAGGTTATTATTAACATAAGTAGTTACACCACCACCACAATAATTTGCATGTAACATATTTACAATTGTAGTATTTCGAGCAGTATGAAAATACTGACTTCAATACGATTTCATCCCATGGAACTCCTCTATTTATATATATAGTAAACTGAGTAAAATCTTATGTGGAAAAATTTTGGTTGGAGCTTAGAGAATAGCACTAAATAAAGGAATGAACCATAGGTATGCAGCTAGTACAACATAGTGAACAGTTGCTTTATGAAAACTAAGAATTTCTCGGTAAGTCCATTATGGAAGCCTTATGCTGGTAATTTTTGTGCGTTAGGTACCGCCTGTTTCGGGAGCATTGTGTGTGTGTTAATGGGAACTACATTAAGGATCTCTCTATTCTTGGCCGAGACCTGTCAAGGACCATTATAATTGACAATTCTCCGCATGCTTTTGGATATCAGGTAATGTATACTTTTATTGTGAGAAAAGTGAAAGCTTATGAAAAGTTTGTATGCGTGCACATGTGTTAACAGTTTTATTTCTGAGGCAGTTGAATGTTTATATTTGCCTTGCTGATAGATTTAAAAGGTATTTGAAAAAAATTATTTTATTGCTGCTTTATGAAAAGCCAGTTTTGTACATCCTTCCTTGCCTTGTCTATGTATTGGATGGCTGGGGTTTTATCCCCAATAGGGTCAAAGCATTTTTCTTATAGTCTCTCCATCCAAACTAACTCTGGGGCCCACCCAGACACTATCCAGTGGGTACCAGGGATTAAGTCAGCCAGGATGTGATGTTGACCACTTACCCCCATCTATTGCTGAGGTCAAGAATGAGTAGGAACTTACCTCCTCATCCCTCAAGCACCTCTATGGTGTATAGCAGGACAGCTGTACTTTACTTGGATGGGATTATGTGTGCTAAATGATCTTGTCCCATAAGTCTTCAGTGGTTTCAGATTTTCCAGTAATTTGTGTCCCTGTGTTACTGAGTAGTTCTTCTGAAACTTCTTTACAAAATTAATGGAGATTTTTTTTCTCATTACTGTTTTTATCATATAAGATCTGAGAATTTACTATTGTTAGATCATGCAAACGAAAGAACGTTTCTTCCAATATTTCAGGGATTTTTGTAGACAAGAATAGATATGAGTTGGTCACATTTGTCATCCTTAATTTTATATTTATTGTAGTTGAACACTGCAATTGGCTTGGTAGTCTGGAGTTTTCCCCTGGATTGTTGCACCTCAGACATTTGATCATTGTGAGCATTATTCACAAATGTACACCCCTCTACAATCTCCTCATTTTGTAGCTGTGAGGTGATTGCAGTCTCATTTGATTTTTCCCCTTCATTTTTGCTACAGAAGCTTCCTTTGGAAATTATCATTTGATCTGTTCTTACTGCATTTGTATATAACTTCATGTGGTAAAAGGTGGTTAATTGAAGAAGAACTTTTATGGATATTAGCTTTTGTAACAAATAAAATGTTTGCTTTTTGCTGTTGTGGCCCTGAGTAGCATGGTTTGTTTTTCTGTAGGTTATGCCTGTGTGTTAGTCTCTAGTGAATGGATTTTAATGACACTTTATATTAACACATTCAGGCCTAACTAAATAGTTGTCAGACTACCCATGCAGCCTAATAATTTGGCCAAAGCAACAAGTTTTAACATCTTGAAATAGTAATACTTAAATGAGGTATTTTGTTTCACACGTTGCACATTCAGTTCATTCTTAATACCTTATTGTGAAAGTCATCTGCTTTCTGTGATGTAAACTGTAAGAACGTTCCATACACTGAGCCACATGTGCTATCTGAAAAGTCACTTATATAGATCGTGGTTGAATGCCTGCAGTTGGAAATCTATTATGTGAAACAAATGCTGAAAATAATTCAGCACAGTTAAAGGTTGACAGTTCTTTTGTATGTAAACTGCATACATTTTATTATATAGTAAACCAAGCATTACAGCTGAAATTTACTGTTATTTGTCTATGTGTTGTATCCCAGCATTGTTACTATATGTATCTACAGGAAACATTGAAATATGAATTTGAACCCAGAGCATTAAGTATTGCTTGAAATTGTTTCTTATGTGCAGCTCTAGGGCAATATAAATCTATCAGATAACAGAAAATGTTCTACTGCTTTTAAATGTTTAAAGCTACTGGACTGTAACCCATTGTGCTTGGGGGAAACATGTAATCAAATCATGAATATAAAGAAATTTGCTTAGAGGGATGGTATATTTAGATTAAGACTGATGAGAAAAATATTTTCAGTATGTAAAATGGACTTGGTTGTAAGACTTTCTGTCCTGAAACATGATTTGTATAATGCATCAGGAATGCACATCTAATGAGCAAACATTGAAAGTTTCAAGTTTGAGGCTGAATTGAAATACAATTCAAATTTGGAGTCTGGAAATTTCTGTCAGCATATCTCTAACTTTGGCGTGTTTGTTTATAAAGACAGGCAGCTAAGTATGTTTACCCAAAAATGTTTCTTACTTCAGTTGGAGAATGGGATCCCAATTGAAAGTTGGTTTGTTGATCAGAATGACAATGAGCTTATGAAGCTCCTGCCTTTCTTGGAGGACCTTGTTCAGATGGTAAGTAAACAGACAGCACAGTCAATTTTTTTTTCTGGAGCAGGGGTAGATTTTCCAGAAGCAAGAAATATAATGAGTTTCGGTGGATGTAGTAATTTTTCTCTGTTAATTGGAGCATGTATTATAGTTCTTAGTAGATGATGCTAAACTCAAGTTTTAAAGTTTTCTAATTACCATATATATATATCATGGTCTCCATGGCCGTGATATACATGGTATTTTAAAAAAGATAAAATTAACATATGTGACAATGGAACACTGGTTGGCTGCACCACTAGCAAGCACGCTACCAACTGAAATATCTCCAGTAGTATGAAATGCAGCTGTTTATGAGGAATAAAGTGGCAGTAAAGAAAACTGAAAATAAATAAACTCACTGTTTTATTAAAAGCCTCTCCCACTCCTCAAATTTCTAACATGTATGTAAGACTTGAGGTTCTCACAGCGCAATAACCCAGAAGACAGAAATCTAACATGTAGTTTGTGTCTTATTTTTAGACTTATTATGTTCAAGTTAACTAGGAATTGTTCAAGTCCAAGTTGTTTTTATTTTCTCATAATATATTGTTTTTCTCTTCAGAAGGAAGACGTTCGCCCACACATCCGAGACAGGTTCAAGCTCTTCACCTTTCTTCCCCCAGATTAGAAGATGTAAATGCATGGGAAGTAAGTAAGAAGAGGGCTGTACAGTTACAAAGTTGTATTTTCTGCAGGAACTCTTGTGCAAATCCCAAGTCAGTGTCAGACTGGTGACATTCATCTGGACCATTGGATTGCCGAGCATAATATAGAGAATAGTGATAAATAGATGAACAGATGTAAATATGCTGTACTGTAGTGCTCGAATGGGGGGAAGCACTTTTTTGTATAGAAGAAAGAAATGGTTGAAGGGATAAATACAATTTGAATTTGTTCAACCAATACACAAATTATTATTCTTAAAGAAAGCATAGTACAAGGATTGGCATTTGTAAATACATGTAACAGTATATATTATAAACATATGACTTTTGAACTTCAAGTGACTTTCCCATGTGATACAGATCAATGTACAAATCTAAAAAATTTAGTAGTTTTCTCTACTTCGTGTCATAAACTGAAATAGTGTCCAGTTGTATTAAAAGTGGCATTCCACAGTGTGTGTGTATAATTCATTAACCAGATAACATGGAAATGTTTAAAGATTTTAAATTTTATATAAGTAATGCAACATATTTCCGTATGTCTTCGTTGCACTTTTTATTCATAATTTTCAGTGTGAAAATTTCTAGTAGTTTCTAGTAAGGTATTTCTCATTTACAGAATAGGTTCCTGGCTTATAAACGATCTGTTAGTTCATTTGAATCTGTTATACTATAAACAAAGTTGCAAGAAGTTTGTTGCAAATGATTTTAACAACCATGACTGACTTCTTCATGTCCTCCCTACACCTAGGGCATCATTCTTATGATACCTTCTTTTAACCACTTACTCTTTCCTTAGTGCATCACAATTGCCTCCAGGAACTGCTCATGTCTAAAGGCTGGACTTGTAAGGAGGAGGATGTACTCTTTGCAATTTGGCTAAAAAACAAGAATCATTCTTAGGGACTTTGGGTTTCTCAGAGGGAGCGAAGAGTATTACACAAAGAATAATTGACAGTAAGATGACATTCATTGAGTGATGCAAGATCTCTTCATGGTTTTGACACATGAGTATCTTAACTGGGCTGTATATATCCAGTTGAGTACATGGGTGCTTTTTCTCGGTGGCTCAGTCCTGCATGTATATTTGATCTAAATTATATCTCTTTAGTGGAAAGCTCAACTTCATGGTTATATGAAAATTAAATCATAGTCTCAACGTTTGGGGTTCAGAATGTAAGTCCAAAGAAAAGTGGAGTAACTTTATCACTCTGAGGTCCAACACAAATCGTTTCTTGCTACCTTACCACTCATGCCACTCTGTCTCTTGCTAACTGCCAAGATACATTCACATATTCTCTGGCATGTCCACTTGTCCCCACTTTAAAGTTTTTGTGCCAGCTTGTCAGCGAGTTACTGTTAGCTATAAACATTCAGTAGAATTCAGCTGGGTTAGGCCTGACTGCTCACACCCATACGAACCCTAGAGCCCAGCTTCTTAACTGAAGATTAATCATATTATCATGTTTGGAATACACTGAGGTTGTACCAGTATAAAAAACAGTTTATTTCATGTCAGATTTATATTTAAAAACACAAGACAAGTAACAAATTAAGCCTGTTTGCATGACAAACTACATCATATTTTAGGCTTATATGAAGAATTGTCAGACATTACTGGATGTTTGCACACTGAAATATATCAGTTTGTAGAAGGTAATTACAAATTAAATGTATGTTAAAAAGTGAACTAAAAATTTGTGACACTAATGACATATCCACTGCATACTGTGGTAAAAGCTTCCACCACAGTACTGTTTCATCTAAACCTGCTTAACAAAAAAACAGCACCCATGTGAAGCTGTCATTTATCCTTGTCTAGTCATTTTTGAAGTGTTAACTCTGATAAAATACGTAAGGCATCCTTCAAGGCACATACACCCCTTGTAGACATTTAGATACCCTGCCGAGGCCTGGTGGTGTGCCATTTAGAAAATGGGGGTTGCTGTCTGTTCCCACAAACATATTTTCTTTTGTTTTAAGGGTCACTTTTAATGTCTATTTTGATTCAAGGATTTCAGTGTTATCTTTCCTTTCTTGTTGTTAGGGCCTTATCTTTGTTCATTCAGGGTGGATTTCTTCCTTCTTGAGTGCAAAGTAGCAGCCACACAGACAGCCAGCTGGGCCCCAACCTGCCATGCCTTCACAGGGGTAGCAATTGATGAAAGTAGGTCCAATTATCCTGTGTGCACTTATCACATTATTTTATTATGAAGAGGACGTTTGTGAGTAAGTTGTGAATTTTTTGCACTCCCGTACTAATTATACTGTGAATTTACCTATGTAAGGAATACCAGGCCACATCAGAAAGAAACTGGTTGTAGATCAACTTCTCTATCATGTATAAACCTAAGAAACAATTTCTAAGATTTATTCTGGCAGTCAGATCATGTTCCTTCAATGCATGAACTATCTTCTTACAGGGTCACAGTTTTAATGGTTTTGTGGTCCTTTGTCCTGATGTTCTTGAAGCACCTATCTCCTGTACTTGTTTCATAGATTTTGTAGGTAAAGTTTCAAGTCTAGCACCAGTGTCTTCCAATGTCTTCTGTCAGGACAGTTCATTTCCTAACTGGCTTTTTGTGCAGAAACAATCCTGTTGTTTTCCTACTTGTAGTAATTGATTCTTTTTGGAAACTTATGCTGAAATTTTTTGCAACATTTTCCGGCAGACTCGTATTTGAAATAGTTAACTAAACATGCATGGTGTTCAGTAGTATACCTCACTCAAGCCATGTTATATAGCACTGAATTGTTTCGAGAAATTAATTAACAGACACTGAAAAACACGGTGCATAATGGTGGGAGTGTGTTATAACCTACTGCTGCTGCTGCTTTGGATGTGCAACTGTCCAGGGCCTCGTGATCAAGCAGGAGGAAATCCACCCTGTAGTAAGGAGAGGTTTTATGTAGTATTTCAGATATTCTGAGGCTGTAAAGCAGAGAATATTGATGGTGAGGTGTTGAACAGTTTAATTGTTACACTTTCCTGCCATTTTCATAACCTGTCATCATGATGCTGGAAGCATTGAGAGGTCATGCTGTGAAAGCGCGTCATTTTGAAATATAACGATAGTAAAGCAGAAAGTTTACTACAAAGTAGCAACTAGAAAACAAAAATACTGTCTTGAAATACTGTATATTGTAGTAGTAGCACAATGTCATGCAACTTTGCTGAAGAAAAATATAATACAGTGATGATCTGTGAACAGGTAGGAATGTCACTTGTAGTTGGGGCCAACAGAGGAAGTCAATCACTATTGTTTCCTCTGTGCTGTAATGAGATATAGTTGAACTTTTAGGGTTGGTTGAAGTCAAGTTCAAGTAAACTCATTTGTTTGTAGCACTTGCTGTGCAAGTACATCACAGTTCTTGGATCTCGTCTCAGTCTTGAGCAGATACTACATTACAGACTGACTTCAGTTATGTACAGTGCGAATCTCTCTATTGTACTAAGATATGTGGCAACCCAAATAAATTTGATGTTCGTCACATATGTAACTTTCCTTTTTACTTTTTTTACTGATCTTTAGTATGTATATATTTTTAAATTTTGTTACTGTTATTTGTAATTGAGTTATTATTGATCAGAAGTAAATTCTAGGTTTCTCTTAAGTTTCTGAAGTCTGGACTTGATTAGTGTAAAATTATTTTTCAAGTTGTCCTATTAGGATCAAATTATAATGCAGTCAGAATAGCCTATTAGAGATTTAATATAAATCTTATGAAAATATGTGAATATGTGTTAATAGCTGCAAGTGTTTTTCCATGTGTACTTGGTGACCATCAGATGTTTTGTGTCATATTGTGTACAGTTTGAAATTTGATCTCTTTAAAAATTACTAGTAGAATTTTTGTTATGGATCACACCGCTAGATAAAGGAGAGACAATTCTATATTAATATAGCCTTGTATCTTTACACCTCGAATGACTGACTGCTGAATAGTCATGATCTGAATCAAAATTTGCACAGTCATGGGGTAAGAACACAGAATGTGTTTCTGCAAAATGTATTGATTATCTTTTATGGAATATTGTGCATTCAACGCACATATGAGAATAGCTGTATGAAAGTGTCAGTTTATATGAATTATAGATTTAAGTCTGTATTTATTAGCATCTGAGATGTTATTTTACTGAGGTATGCAAGATTTCAGGTTCTCACAGTGGTGAGTAAGAAAGCAGCCATCTGGGATATTGAGCTCTGTCGTCTCGTAAAAGTTTACTGACATTTGAGGTGCTTACTGCCTCCATCATGAGGGTGATGAGTCCCTTACCACCCTCATGATGGAGGCCGTAAGTACCTCTGAAACATCAGCTAACTTCTACAAGAAGGCTGTCACCACCCACAGTGAGATTGTTTGGAAGCTAAGTCTGTGTGTAGCATCTGCTGTTGCAGCTATCGCTGCTAGTTATTGTTATGTTACTTGAACTTGGTGATGTAATATGTAGTAACAGTAGTATTGTCTGAATGCTGGTACTACTATCCTGTGCTGTTTATTACATGTAAGTTTTGTGATAGGTAAGCTGTAGCAATTGTCACATACTAGCTCCTGCAAAAGTATTGTATTGATTATTCTCTGTGACTGTAAGATTGGTCAAAGTGACATGTTCTTCAATCCCTCCATCTTAATAGTATATCTTTCCAATCCTTGACTGAGTTTTCTTTCTGCAGGTTTATTGCTGTTTGTGATTGAAGATTTGAAGCACATTCTCTTGTTAATTTATTGCAATGGATTTTCAGTTTATTTTGTTTGCAAATCACATTGTGCTTCATGCAAAATTAGTGTTGTAAATATATTCCATAATTTCATTCTGGTCTTAAATAAATTGGAAAAATTGAAGCATACCTGTTGTTGGATTATGGAACCAGTTGGTTCCAGTGCTTCATCAGCTTTGTTTGAAACGAGAAGTTTTGCAGTCACAGAGAAATTTGTGTAATTTGCACATATTTTCAACAAACCCTGCACTCTCATAACATAACATTTCTTGGAGATTATTTCGGTTTCAGCTTAGTGAAAGTATTTTCCGAGTTGTACATGTCTTTGTGAAAGCTTTCATAATGAGCATAGTTGTATAGTATTATAACTAGACAAGGGATAGGTTTTTGTTGAGCAAAGCATTCACCGGCCCATGGGCCAGACCTGCATTTCATCAAGTATATGATATATTAGCAGTATGTTGGGTAATCAACAGTTTGTGCCATGTCCCGCACTTTTGCTGCAGAACTGATGGAGGTGGAATATATAGTATGGAAGTTGCCAAGAAAATGATTATGGCCTATTCGAATGTTTCTCAACCAGTGTGCTGCAAATTGAGTTGAACTATGTTACAGCATTTTGAATTCATATATGTTTTACACATTTAACTGTAGTTCAGAAGTGTGGTAATATCAGTAAGAATATGTTTGGCCCTGTTTTGACATCTCACTGGCCTGTGGTGCTGTTTCTTTGTTTAGTTGTTACTGCCTTAACATGTTTCATATCCTTTTATATCTGTTATACACTGTGCTTCTTCAGAATAGTCATTTTTAAATTTAATATTTTGTCTGTAACTGTTGTCATTTTATTTCTTGTTGCTGAAATGTTGCTAATGTTACATTTTTTTGGACTGTAATGTTTGAAAGCTTTGTGTCTCTGTGGTAGAAAACCTTAAGCTGGTATGTACAAAATCCAATTTTACAGGAAACCATTTTAAAAAGTTCTGCAGCTAATATGTTTTCCAGCTATCAAATTTAAAATTTTCACAGATAGTACCTCTTAAAAATCTTAAGTTCATTGTGTTGCCTGAAGTTGAAAGTTGTTGAATTTTAGGAGAAAAACAAACAAAATGAAGATAACAAGTTTTGACAGGAATGTACATTTTTAAAAATACAATATATATTTTGATATGGTACACACACATTGTTCATATTTTTTTGTTAATTTTGTTCAGTTTGTGAGATTTCAGGTGCTCATGGCAGTGAGTATGAAGATGTCTTCTGGTATGTTGCATCATGTAGTCTGGTAGAGGTTTACAATGGGCTACTTTGGCTACTTACAGTCATCACTCCTGCAGTTGACTCCCTTGGTGCAATATTGCAGGTTGAAGTACTGGGCGTTGTTTGGTGCTTTGTTACATGGTTTAGGGAACTGACATTGGTATAGTTGTGAGGCTTTCTAGCAAGACCTATTGGTTTCAGGGGATATTGGGTGGTGGCAATGATGTCTGGCAGGCATATGATGTAGGATGATTCATTGTGGACTGTCACCATTATATTAATGTACAGTGATGATGGTTGAAATATGACAATTACTTTAATGAGTCAGTGGCTCCACTACATTTAACACTTCACATGGACAAATACTCCTTGAAACACTTAACCCTTCAAGTCAGTATTTAAATGTCCTCTAAACTAAGACTATGGCGGTGTTTAGATAGCCTGTCAGTGAGAAATTTGTTATATATGAATTGTGCCCCCCCCCCCAATTTCCACCCAGCAGTCATGGTCATTTCAATAGCAAATTGCTAACTTATCTCCTTTATTACTTACAATATATGCTTCACTATTCTCACTGTGATTGTTTCCCAACCACAAGAATCTTTTTACCATATCACTAATTCATTATCACAAATTATAATGTTTCTGTGAACAGGTTCCTGTAAAAACTTATGTCTTACAAATTGAAACCAAGCAAAACACTAGGATATGCCATGTTGGTTACTGGTTGATGAAGTGTCATTGGATAAAAGGGCGCAAAATAATTTATGTGCAGTCATGCATATGAACAAGCAGATAGAAGAAATGGGAAGTTGAATGTTTCAGTCTCATGGTCCAAATAGAATGGTAAGAATCCAACAGATAACACAGCAGTGATAATTTGCCTTGGTGCCTGCAAGCAGTGAGTACTTAAGTGGATACCACTGATAAAAGGCTTCTAGCTGCAAGTACACTTTTGGGCAACAGTTTACATGAGGAATGATTATACTGGTGTGCAAGAGCACAGTGATGGCATGAATACTGATGTACAATTTGGATAAAGCAAGTTTGTGATTAGATTAATACTTTGACTGTTTGATGTAATGACATCTAAATTCTTCAAGTAGAGTGGTACCCCTCATAACCTCGGTACAGATGGGTGTCTTGGACACAGCATCTCATTGGTTAAATTTTGATTAGGTTGGTTGAAAGATGACATGATTCGGTGTTGGGCAGATGGATTTCCAGAATGTTCCCCTGGTGTAACCCCCTCCCCCCTTTCTGCATGTTATAAACATGTTCTGTGTAGTTGGGACATAGAGGTCCTATCACCTCTAGCATGGTTGGCACAGTTTTGTTAGAGGTAGGTCTGGTTTATACACTATATTAGGATAATGCCAACAAGTGGATGGCTGGGCATGTACAGAACTCGTAGACACACACCACATCTGTGCTTATTACTCTGACATGCCAGTGACTCTCAGAATTCAAACTTGTGAGCCTTGCAAGGTGATTGTTATATGTTATAAGTTTACTGATGTTTCAGAGGTGTTTGCCTCCATCATCAGGGCAAATGAGATGGAGGCAACAAGCCCCTTTGAAACATTGGTACACTAGACCACATGGTGCAGCGTCCCAGAAGACTCATCTTTTGTTCAATCTGTTGTGTAAGCACACAAGTTTTAGTGTCTCAGACTAAGTGATTAAAATCAGTCCTCCCATGAACACAAGATAATTCATGGTTTGCTTTTCAATTACACATATTTCAACAAAAGGAGTGCTTATTTCATCATGATGCTTCTTTGTAAAATACATCGGCAATCACAAATTCATACATTCACCTTCTACAGTATAACAACTGCATCTGTTTGTCATAAAATTAACACTGGATAAAGTGATTATATTCAGTAGTGTAAGTGGCAAATAATGGTGGGATGATGTTTGAACCATACTGCCTGCACTGTACTATGCCTCTTCTGTGTCAATATCATCCTGCATATGTGAACTCACTTAGGTCAAAATTTGAAAGAATGCATGCTATATAATACATCAGATAAAGGCAGATGGCTCAATAGGTATCTCTTCTTAGGACATACAGGAACTGACATAAAGCAGGTTGCAGGGATTTCTACCATTGATTTGGAGTGTGTGGAATGGTTCATTCTCTACTATGCTATACTTGAAACACAAAACAAATGCTTTTTCCTATCTCATCCAGTTTATCTGGATCCAACCATACTTTTGCCTTGCACAGTCTATATTCTTGTAACAGTAGCCAACATCATTCTTGCAGTCTCTGATAGTTTCATTCATGGTCCACAGCTGTCAATGTCAGGTCTGGAGTTTGTTAGACACTCACTGTATATGTTATAATTTATATCCTTTCTAAAACACTTCACAATGTATTTTTCAGGAAACTGGTTTTCTGTTTCACTTACATTCTTGGCATACAGATAATACATTTTCTTCATATTTAGATTTGAGGGAGGTACATTATCTTTATGTGATGTCTTGAGTAATGACTGAAATGCTTTGGAAAGCTTTCAGCGTGTTGTTTAATACCAGCCCTTTCTCCACAAGTTTCAAAGGACAATCATATTTGCTTCTGACATCCTGTGGAATTACTCTGCAGTTGACACTTTTGTTTTTGGAGATGATTGTCACTTTGATTTGTCTTTACTATGAACTTGCTTTGTAGACACACTGTCAGAAAGTATTATTTCACACTCACAAACTTGTCCTGAGCTACTTCTGAACCTGTACCATAGGTCTTATATTTCTTTTTGAAAATTTTCATTGTATGTATGTTCATTTCCTATGATAAACAGTCTTCCACGGACACAAACTCCTTTGTTGATTTTAAGATTCCCTTACGTTTCATATGTAAATCCTGGTACTTTTTCTTCTGTTTCATCACACTTTGTGCTGTTCTTGTATTTGATACTGCTTGGACTTAACACCTTCAGATGTTTGCTATTTATGATTTGCATTCTTTTCTAATTCTTTGTTGAACTCCTTAACTCATTACAATGACTATTTCCCTAATAACAGTGAAACACATTTAAGACAAGTAAGAAACAGGAACTTGGGAAGGTAAAATCAGTAAAATGGAGGAGACATTTTGGCCAGCACATCAACATTATGTAAACACAAACTGATATTTAGCGTAAGTTTTGAGAGATGCTAAAGTATGTGTTTAAGAATCTGTCAAAACATGGTACATAGCGGGACAAACTTTACTTAAACATTCTATCACCAGCAGTCTATTGACAGTTATCTGCAGCTTGAAGTGATCTGTCAATGAAAGTTATGAGGGTGCAGTTCCACTTTTCTTGTATCCACTCATTTACCCTCTTAATAGATTATAAGAACCCACAAAACATTTTTTCTAAACTTTCCAACATTGCATGACACCGTGAATTTCTATTTTTTCACAACATATTGATTGTTGTTACTCCATTTTTTCTTTTCTTTGAAAATGGTACAAAAGTGAAAGAAGAGATATACTTTGAAACTCCATTTGTGGAGAAATAAAAAGTTGTCTTTGTTTTCATATATTAAAAAGTAAGAAAGTAATAATGATAAAATATAATAATAATAACTGTAGTTTTGCCATATAGTAAAGCTACACACTATGTTATGGACACAATTTGTTACATAAGTTTAGAAAATGTTTTTACACAAAATGGAGGTTTCTGAGCAATGGAAACTTTGCAGTTTGTGTAACTGTTTCTCCTCTCTTACTCTTTAATAACTGTCAGTCATTTTTTTGATGGTGCAGGACATTTTGTGTGTAAACGTGCAGCTGCTATCATTTCTGTAATTTAAACCTCCCAGTATTTTTGTACCAAACATCACAAGTTTTTTAAAGTGATGTCCATGATGAATTTTGTTTACACAAATTCTCTTCTCTTTGATATGTGTTGATTGTAACCATTTACTTGTTATACTTAATTGTTTTTCATAGGCATATTTTTTTATCTGTTATAGTTTTCTAATCTCTCCTCAGAGAACCACTTTATGGTTTTTGTGCAAGCATCAAGCTCTAATGAAAAAAATTAAGATGGCAACTTTTCCCATGTGCTTTTATTTCTGTACCTACATAAACTCCTCTCTGCTCCTTACAGTTATTGGCTTATGGCAACAGACATCATAATTGTTGTGCCTTAGATAGTTAATATGAGGTTAAGTGCTTTTTGGATTGTGGGGTCCATTAGAATGAGCACAAAATGTAATGTAGTTTTATGTGGCATGTATAAGAACCTGTATTATTAACCCTTTCAATGCTGAGTAATGCTCACTAATTCCTGTGCATTGGACATACAAACATTTCCAAATGTTTGTCTGATGATGGCAGAATATGTGCAGTTTACTGCTGGCAATATAGGTCTCACCAGAAACATTTTAAAAAAAAAGCTGCATGCTGGGGTATCAGGGGCAAAGTGATGCATTACAAACTATGCTAACAACAGATAAACAGAATATGTACTCATCAATGGATTAGTACCTATAGCATACTATAAAATTCACAACAATTTTCTTTGGCTTCTAAGTGAGGTTTGCCTAAATCAGAAACTTAGTTCAGCATTGTGGTGCAGCACACAGTGCAAAGTGATTGGTTGGAAAGAAAAATGTTCTTGAGTTTACTTAATTAAAACATTTGAGACACTGCTGTCCATCAGGGAACTCTTCAGCTCCAAGCTCTCTTCCAGCCATGCATATGATCCAGAAATTGTCCCTACAATCACCAGAGTCTGTGGCAAGACATTGAATCTTTATGTGCTGATTCCACAGTTGAAAAAGAAACTCAGTCAAAAAGAGGAAATATTTAGAAATGCAATACATTTTCATAATGAAATTACAAATTACTATGCAATCTTACAATGCAAGAAGCTGAAGGTTATAACAGGTGTAGTTAGGGCATGA